ATCGATATGGCGAAGATTCCGCTTCACTGAGTGTATGCATGTGTGTGCATGCATGCATACACGCATGCCTGTCTGCTTGCAATTATGTGTGTGCGTGTGTATATATTTGTGTGTGTGTGTGTTTGGTGTTTCGTGTGAAAGTGTTTCTGATGATAGTTGGTTATTATTGCATTGGTGGATCGAGTGGATTCGAGTGACGTTTTGAGTGGATTTTCTCATTGGTATGCGAACTCCTCGTTGTAATTGTGCACATCTCAAATGCTGACGATGGACATACACACTTGATGTTCGAGTTGTACATCGTAGAGTGCATACTTATTGAGAGTTTGATGAGGTAGATGGTTTGTTTAGTGTTGTTCTGATGTGTTCTGCTTGACATAGTTTGCTTATGTGTTGTGATGAATGTGATTAATTTGTGTTTGTTGATGTTGATGTTGTTGTTGTTGTCGGTGGTGGTGGTGGTGGTGGTGGTGTTTGTGGTGGTGTTTGTGAAGTTGATGCTGATGATGAGGATTAGGATTGTGCGTATGATTAGTATGATGAGTGTGAGGAGTATGAGGATGATGCTGTATATTAGTTGATGGATGATGTGATAGTGATGATGGTGAGCGGAGCACCGCACGTCGGAGTGGCCGAGCGGTCTAAGGCGCCAGACTCAAGAGTGTTCTTCTGGGTGTTCTGGTCCACGATGTGGGCGTGGGTTCGAATCCCACCTCCGACACATACTTTCCACAACGAACAACACTGAATAAAACAACAACTCAGTCGACACCAAAAACATCAAACAACAAGCACAAACTGGGCCTCTCCTGTATCTCTGTTCACCCACCTGACCGAAAACACACAGAGACACGTTCATCTGCACACATACCAAGGTCTACAACTGTCACACCTCAATCCACAACATCGCAGCAACCACATACAGTCACGTAACCAATCGTGTATATTTGCATGTATGTATACGGATGCTTAGAAGCTTGTAAACATCGCGTCATCGGTGAATTTCACACACAACTCCTCACATTATCTCCTGAACTCTGGTGCAAATCATTCTCCACTTCACTCATCTCACTGACCGAATTCGTCCCATGTCTCGTCTTCCCAATACACTGTCAACTAGTTCTAACTACATTGCACACAACAACCGAAATCACATCACACCACATACACATACCCAGTCTTGTGTGCATTACGATCACAGACACGCACCCGACATTCACAGTCAAAACGCACACATAATCGACCGACGTTTCCAGTCCTCTCGATCAATACATAGCAAAGTGAACTGCACAACACACTCATCGATGAGATCAATATGGGAGTGGCGAGTTGGCGAGACCCATACAGACGAGAGAGTTGACGTGATCCACAACTGACTTGCCATCCACGTGTCGACGAAACCCACCGAATGCGGTGGATGAGATATAATCTGGTTTGATGAGGTTCCGTGCGACGAGCCAACATAGGGTGGGAGGGGATCAGTTAGGAGGAGATGCGAAGTGACGTGATGTGAGCAGGGGAGGGGAGAGGTGAATAGAGAAGAGGGCAATCTGAACACCGTTGTTCACAATGATTCCAGTATGACTGGCACAACCTGACAGTTGATCGGTCTGATGAACGCGACACTTATGATTGGTGAGAAAGCGATAGGTCACTCATTTCCAAACAAACCAATCACACTCGTATATGCTTGGAATAGGCATTGGTGGACTGTGGTGTTCACTCGTAGTCAGTTTGTTGATCGATATGGCGAAGATTCCGCTTCACTGAGTGTATGCATGTGTGTGCATGCATGCATACACGCATGCCTGTCTGCTTGCAATTATGTGTGTGCGTGTGTATATATTTTGTGTGTGTGTGTGTTTGGTGTTTCGTGTGAAAGTGTTTCTGATGATAGTTGGTTATTATTGCATTGGTGGATCGAGTGGATTCGAGTGACGTTTTGAGTGGATTTTCTCATTGGTATGCGAACTCCTCGTTGTAATTGTGCACATCTCAAATGTTGACGATGGACATACACACTTGATGTTCGAGTTGTACATCGTAGAGTGCATACTTATTGAGAGTTTGATGAGGTAGATGGTTTGTTTAGTGTTGTTCTGATGTGTTCTGCTTGACATAGTTTGCTTATGTGTTGTGATGAATGTGATTAATTTGTGTTTGTTGATGTTGATGTTGTTGTTGTTGTCGGTGGTGGTGGTGGTGGTGTTTGTGGTGGTGTTTGTGAAGTTGATGCTGATGATGAGGATTAGGATTGTGCGTATGATTAGTATGATGAGTGTGAGGAGTATGAGGATGATGCTGTATATTAGTTGATGGATGATGTGATAGTGATGATGGTGAGCGGAGCACCGCACGTCGGAGTGGCCGAGCGGTCTAAGGCGCCAGACTCAAGAGTGTTCTTCTGGGTGTTCTGGTCCACGATGTGGGCGTGGGTTCGAATCCCACCTCCGACACATACTTTCCACAACGAACAACACTGAATAAAACAACAACTCAGTCGACACCAAAAACATCAAACAACAAGCACAAACTGGGCCTCTCCTGTATCTCTGTTCACCCACCTGACCGAAAACACACAGAGACACGTTCATCTGCACACATACCAAGGTCTACAACTGTCACACCTCAATCCACAACATCGCAGCAACCACATACAGTCACGTAACCAATCGTGTATATTTGCATGTATGTATACGGATGCTTAGAAGCTTGTAAACATCGCGTCATCGGTGAATTTCACACACAACTCCTCACATTATCTCCTGAACTCTGGTGCAAATCATTCTCCACTTCACTCATCTCACTGACCGAATTCGTCCCATGTCTCGTCTTCCCAATACACTGTCAACTAGTTCTAACTACATTGCACACAACAACCGAAATCACATCACACCACATACACATACCCAGTCTTGTGTGCATTACGATCACAGACACGCACCCGACATTCACAGTCAAAACGCACACATAATCGACCGACGTTTCCAGTCCTCTCGATCAATACATAGCAAAGTGAACTGCACAACACACTCATCGATGAGATCAATATGGGAGTGGCGAGTTGGCGAGACCCATACAGACGAGAGAGTTGACGTGATCCACAACTGACTTGCCATCCACGTGTCGACGAAACCCACCGAATGCGGTGGATGAGATATAATCTGGTTTGATGAGGTTCCGTGCGACGAGCCAACATAGGGTGGGAGGGGATCAGTTAGGAGGAGATGCGAAGTGACGTGATGTGAGCAGGGGAGGGGAGAGGTGAATAGAGAAGAGGGCAATCTGAACACCGTTGTTCACAATGATTCCAGTATGACTGGCACAACCTGACAGTTGATCGGTCTGATGAACGCGACACTTATGATTGGTGAGAAAGCGATAGGTCACTCATTTCCAAACAAACCAATCACACTCGTATATGCTTGGAATAGGCATTGGTGGACTGTGGTGTTCACTCGTAGTCAGTTTGTTGATCGATATGGCGAAGATTCCGCTTCACTGAGTGTATGCATGTGTGTGCATGCATGCATACACGCATGCCTGTCTGCTTGCAATTATGTGTGTGCGTGTGTATATATTTGTGTGTGTGTGTGTTTGGTGTTTCGTGTGAAAGTGTTTCTGATGATAGTTGGTTATTATTGCATTGGTGGATCGAGTGGATTCGAGTGACGTTTTGAGTGGATTTTCTCATTGGTATGCGAACTCCTCGTTGTAGTTTTGCACATCCAATATTCCTATTTTCGTCACTCTTTTTTACCTTTCTGTACTGTATTCTCTGCTCTTTCTGTTTTTTCATTTTGTTCTTTCTTTTTTATTTTTTAATCTTGTAGGTTTTCCTGATATTATTTGCGAATTCATTTTCTTTTTTTCTCGTCTCTGCTGTTTGTCTTCGCTGTTTTTTCGTTTTTTCCTCTGGTTTTTACAAAATGTTCGCCCGCTCTTTTCTCTTCCTTTTCTTGCGAATTTATGACGTGTATCCTAAATTATATTCAATTTATTTCATTCGTTTTGTTATTTAACGTATCATTGATTATTTTACGAATATTTTATTGTGTACTTTCAAATGTTATTTCTTTCCATTTTTATGTTTTTCAGCAGGTTTATTTCATACCGACTTATCATTCAGTTGTGACATGTTCTATTCTTTTCTTTCGCCCTCATTTTTAATTTGGATTATTTTTATTTGGAGTCGTTGTGAACTTTTTCCAACAAGAATATAATACGATAGATGATATATATAATAGACAAAGCTTTACAGAAGTTCAATGGTAAATTACAAAGCGTCATACAATTTGCAAATTGTATTTCATATTAACTCCTAAGATTAGTATCTAATGATTACGTAATAATGCAATCATTAGTACTTTCAAATAACATTTTATTAGTAGTAAAGATATACTCGTAGAATTATTGTTTTTATTTAGATAATTCATTCACATATATATTCTATCCATATATAGACAATAAACTGTTAAGTACATTAATTATATTAGTTATATCAATAGAATGGTGCAGGATTATAAAGTGCATTTTTATACAACAGTTCTTACTTCTTCCATTATTACTATATTACTACTATTACCATTACTAGTATTATCATTATTATTGCTACTACTACTACTACTACTACTACTACTACTACTACTACTACTACTACTACTACTACTACTACTACTACTACTACTAATACTAATACTATTACTACTACTATTACCATTACTTCTACTATATCTTCTTAGAATTGCACTCTCCTCTTACTATCTATTCATCAACATTAATAAGTCTATTCCTCTCTTCTTAGATTCAATAATCACATTACTTTTTAAAAAAATGTTTTTCTTTAAAAATCAATAATTAATAGATTATTAATGATCAATAATAGTGATCAGAACATATTACTTGGAAAATTATTCACATAATTAATTTCTATTATCTTGGTAACAATTATAATTATATCTGGATTTATATTACATAGATTTTATTATATTATATTACAAATGATTACAATATTAACATTCATTTATATTATATTATCATTATTGAATCAATTCATTATAATATATGGAATGATACCAGTACAATGTGGTTATAATTTAACTAGACGTATACCAGTATGTTGTCCATTAAGTAATATTAATGGTAAAGTATGCGGTGGACCAAAATATGGTGAATGTATACAAATATGGACACCTAAAGAGAAAGTACCAAGTGTATTTTTAATAGATGATAGAATTGATTGGCCAAAACGTTATTTTACATATTTTTGTCAATGTTTTGGTAATTATTTTGGTGCAGCTTGTGATGAATGTTGGTTTGGATGGAAAGGTCAACATTGTAATAAACGTTCAATTAAAATACGACGCGATATAAAAACATTAACTGATAGGGAATTATATATATTTAAAAGATTAGTTGTATTAAGTCAAACATGGCCATCTGGTTATCTTTTAATTGATGAATCAGATAACTGGAATGTTGATCCATTGACAAAACCTAAATTAGAACATGCTTCTGTTCAATATTACATTACTTATTTACATCGTTATGGTAGCCGTAGTACATTGTATAAAAATGTTCAGGATTGTGAAGATTATGGAATATTAAATTTCAATCATGATGGTGTTTGTTTTCCAACTTGGCATCGTTATTATAATCTGTTATGGGAGAGATTGATGACAAAAATTGCGATACAAGTATTTGGTATATCAGATTATGCAACACCATATTGGGATTGGATCGGTTTAAGACATTGTGATATATGTACAAATAGATATATTGGCGCACCGGGTAGACGCAGTGAAATGGGATTACATATATCATCTGGATCACCATTTAGTAATCTAACTGAGTACTGCTATGAACCAATGAAAGATTTGCTTTGTTCTGGTTGTCAGAGAGGTGGAAAAGGAATAATTACACGGGAATTTAAAAAAGGGAACCTTCCGGATGTAGAGGATTTGAAGTTCGTTTTAAGCTTAAAACAGTAAGTAGACAAATATTTATGCTTATGCATATACCACATAAAAGTTACACAACGTAAAGATTCCCTTCCAACTAATCTAGTATCATTTGAACAAGTTTTTTTTTCGGTTGACTAATTTGAACAGTGTAAACTCCTTTAAAATATTTAGCACCGAGCTCTTCAATGGTTTTGAATCAGAATTAAAAAAATAAGAAGACCAGTAGCTACAAGCTATTGGAAAAACATAAAGCATTTTTACCAATCATTTACTTGTATAACTTTCAGGATTATTAATTCATTTTTAATGTTTATTTGAATCTTTTCATTGATCTTCATGACTGCACAATTGATCAGTCTCTTATTGACATATATGTATTCTGTGTGGAATGCCTCGATGTCATAAGCATTATAAGCAAAGATGGATGGTAGCTAGTGGTGGAATGCAGGACGCACGTTTCGTCCCCTTCGGACTCGTCATCTGGATGTACCTGCATCTCATAGTTGATATTCACTCCGGGACTCGAACCCAGTACCGTTGGTTTCAAACGCCATCGTGTTATCCACTCCGTTAATGAGTCGTCATAGCCACTGGCTTGTGCAATGTGATCAAGTTTCAATTCATGTTGTATTGTATACTTGAATGTTTCGATTAATGTTTATGACTGCAACTGATCAGTCTCTTATTGGCATATGTGCAGCACGCTGTACGGATTGCCTCGGTACTGCCTCAAGTCACGAGCATTATGTCATTGTGTAGTCAATTCTTGTTTATAACATCATGTATAGATTTCTCTATATAACTCAATACAAATTTTCCAATTGCTTTTCTATGTACAATTTTCATTACGTTTAACTACAACAAACTGATTATTATACAATCAACACTGTTTGAATGAAGATATGATTTCAGAATTTTGAAAATAATTTCTACTTCATAAATAACAAGTGAAAAAAAACATTTAGAATACCTGAATACAAAATGATGAGCAGAATGATAAACATAGATGTTTCTTGATTGAGATCTTCAACCGACTGATGTTAGACCACCACTGAAAACCTGGAAGCACTGGACGGCTGGCATCATGCCAGCTCAGTGATCTAGTAGGTTAAGCGTTCACGCGCAAGACAAAACGCCCTGGGTTCGAATCCCGCGAGCGGGGTCGTGGACGTGTACTGCTGAAGAGTTCCACAATAGGACGAAACGGCCGTTCAGTGCTTCCAGGTTTCCAATGGTGGTCTAACATCAATCGGTTCATGATCTCAATCAAAACCTTAATAATCTCCACAACCCTATACTGATAGATGTTTCTATAAGCGAATATAAACTATTAACCTATTGACTAATGAATTGGGGTTAGTAAATCTTCATTTTTACCAGTTTTGTGTTCTTACTTTTACGTCGTGAGAATTGCAGTGGTTCCTCGCTTTACAAGTACACAAGTGATAAGCGGCATAATAATCTGTGGCAATCAGATATAACAAGTAGCGTTTATTTGGGAAGACACATCAGATACCATATTCAATTTTGTTTTAATTTAATGAAATAAATATCCAATATTATTTAGTTGAATAAGTAAACATTCATTAATTGATAACATCATCATTTTGTAAAGCTGTAACCCTGCTACTATAATATTAACTTCAAGATGGTCAAGAAGATTTGTAGCTTAGATGGATGGTTTTGATGGAGTTTTATTCTACTTGAATTCTGTGCTGATGATATGGTTCAGAAGAACAATGAAAGCTCCACGATCACCAAACCATTCAATTCAGAGAAAAATAAACCTCATCAAAATATTCACTTTTCAATTGATAAGTGAAAGTTTGTGTTATACAACCATCAACTAGATAAATGCATAATCAATGTCATGAATTAATAATTAAACAGATTCTCCAATAATTACAAATTAAATCTTAGAAATAAGTAACTAATTCATCATTAATAATATTTAAAAATAAATGGTTTACCATACTTTTGCTGCAAAACAACACCAATTGAATATTTTTATTTATGTATATATACATATAGATTTTATGTTCCTGGTGAACGTCTCAGTCCTGTATGTCTATCATTTAATATCGCATTAGAAGGATTTTGCGGTCGACCTGGTGCTGATCCAAATCATAGATGGTTTCATAATAAAATGCATGTATTGATTGATGGAAGTATGTGTTGTACAGCGACAGCAAGCAATGATCCATTATTCATATTACATCATACATTTGTAGATAAAATATTTGAAGTAAGTTAATTTATAAAACTGAGTTTTAAAAAGTCTTATTTTGTGAATATGATTTAGATGGAATATTTAAAGTCTACTCATTTCAGTAGTATCAGAGAATAGTTTTGTCGTAGGCATTCATTAATTGATTATATAAATATTCAATATTAACTTGATCAGTTCGTTTTAATAGATCGACAAATTAAACTTGAGTTTATTTGACTTTTCTTGATTGAATAATCGTCTTTCTCATGTAAATAAGTCATGTTTTGTTTTTCATGAAATAAATGATAAAGAGAGTGTGCGATTAAATAGCAAAGACTTCACTTTAAAAAATCTCTAATATATTACGTTTAATTGTATGGGGTTTACGAAGACATTTGGATGTCATAGTTCATATTAAGAAATGATCTTTTTTCAAAACCCACTGAAGCCAGGACTTACTTACGCTTGTTAACCCTCGTGGAGGAACATAGGCCTCTTACCAGCACTCTCTATCCAACTCTGTCCGGATAATTATTTCCAGTTGCTATTGATACTTTATATGTCTGTTTCCAATTCCCGATACAGTATGTTCTTTGGTCATCCCCTCTTCTGTTTTCCTTCAGGATTCCAATTTAGGGCTTTCCTCGTGATGCAGTCTGATGATTTTCTCAGTATGTGTCCTATCCACTTCCAATGTCTTTTCCTAATTTCCTCCTCAGCCCTAAGCTGGTTTGTTCTCTCCTACAGTAGACTGGTGCTGATGGTATCCGGCCAACGGACATTCACTATCTTACGTACACAACTGCTTATAAATACTTGTACCTTCTTGATGATGGTTGTGGCAGTTCCGTATAACAGAACTCACCGTCTTGATGTTAGTATTGAAGATCGTGGCTTCGATATTGATTGACAGTTGTTTTTAGTTTCATATATCCTTCAACTGTGGAATCTCTGTCCTTTTCTTCCCAATCCTTGCCTTTACGTCTGCATCACATCCTCCATGTTCATCGATGATACTACACAAACACGTGAAACTTTCCACATCTTCCAGAGTTTCTCTATCAACTGTGAGTGTGTTGGTGTTCTCTGTGTTGAATTTGGGGATCTTGCTTTTCTCCTTATATATATAGGCCTACTGATGCAGACACTGCTGCTACACTAGTTGTCTTCATCTGCATTTGGTGATGTGCATGGGATAGAAGGGCCAGGTGATCTGCGAAGTCCAAATCTAATTGATTCCGAGCTATCCATTGTATACCGTGTTTCCTCTCAGATGTCGATGTCTTCATAATCCAGTCGACCTTCACAAGAAAGGGGAAGGGGAAGAGTAAGCAGTCTTGTCTGACTCCGGTCCTCACTTGGAATACACTTGTCAGCTGTCCTCCATGCATAACTTTGTACTGTAGTCCATCGTATGAGTTCCGTATGATATTGACGATCTTCTCAGGCACACCATAGTATCAAGGAAGTTTCAATAATGTTCTCCTATCCACACTGTCATACCACTTTTCATAGTCAAGGAAGTTGATGTATAGTGACGAGTCCCATTGATTGTTCAACGATGATACTTTGTATCGCGATTTGGCATGTGCACGACCGGTCTTTACGGAATCCAGACTGTTGATCTCGAAGTTGGGCGTCTATGGGTCTTTCATCCAGTTCAGAAACACTCTGTTAAAAACTTTTCCCGGTACTGACAAGTGTGATTCCTCTGTGGTCCTCACATTTGCTCATATCTCCTTTCTTGAGTATTTTGATGAGGTGTCCTTATTTCCAGTCCGTCAGTACTTTTTCTTCCTCCCAAATATTCCTGAATAGAACATGGAGCATCTTCGCACTTGCTTCTATGCATGACTTCAGTGCTTCAGCTGGCGTATTTTCAAATGTTGCTGCTTTCTCACTCTTCATTTGTCCGGTGGCCATCCTGACTTCGACCGTTGGTGGAGTGGCATATAGGAAGGTCTGTAGGTGCTGCTTCGGTGTCCGATGCATTCAGTGGAGCTGGTGTATTCAAGAGCTCCTCTGTTGTTGAGTCTCGGTGATTATGTTGCGTCGATATTACCTTAATTCACAAGCATTATAAGCAAAGATGAATAGTGGCTAGCAGTGGAATTCAGGAAGAGCGTTTTGTCCTATTTGGGTCCTATTGAGTCGCATAGTGAACATCAATTCTGAGATGCATCTACATCCAGCTGACGCGTCCCAGATAGGACGAAACACGCGTCCTGAATTCCACTGCTAGCCACTATCTATACTTACTTATAGATAAGAAAATTTTTAGATTACAAATAAATTATTTGTCTCATTTTTAAAAAAATTTTAATGGTACATATACATGAGATTTTTAAAATGAGTAGAATAATTTCCAGTTACAGAGTAATTATTGATTGATTGATTCCATAAATGCTCAATAATTAGATTACTTGAATCTATATTATAACCATAGGAGTTGTGCAGGTTATTATACGTTATTGAGAGCGCGGACTAAACTAAATTATATAACCATTGCGAATCTGTAAGCACTAGATTGTCGCTTCATAACAGGATGGAACTTCTCTGGAGTGAGCATGTAAGACTCTACCACCAAGGATCAGATCCATAGACTTAAGCATCATGCAAGAACGCTGAACCGGTATACAATAGTATAAAAGTCCAAATACAATCAATCTGTGATAGTTAGCTATCATCTTTTATTGTGTTCAGTGAGTACCTTCCTCACACCTTGAATTGTTGAAATCTATTGACCATGGCTTTTAGCTAGAATTTAGAAAGTTTTTTCTCGAAGCCAACCACCGTTGAGTCCATGAGGATTATTATAATTAGGTCTCGGGAGGTTGTTAAACTTGTACATAGAAGTTGTTGTATAGAAGTTAAGCATTTGCGCGCGGTATTGAAGCTCACAAGTTTGGACGCTGGTGGTCGAATCTTGAATACAAAATCCTGAGAAGTCCCACAATAGATTAAATTAGCTGCCCAGTGTTTCCAGGTTTTCAACGGTTATCGATCCATGATATTAATGAATTCAAGTTTCCTATTTTAATTAATTTGAGTAGTTTGATTAACTTTTATAAAATATATGTGTAGTGAACGAGAACTCAGGTGGGGACAACCAACTTAGTGTGTAATACAAAGTTATAGAATTTCTTGGTAAAATATGAAAACTACACATAATATACTTAATTTGCACATCTTCCATCAGTTGTCTCTGACAAACTTCATCATTTCTTCATTGCGTTGTGTCAGCTACTTATATCCATGTAAGTAGCATATAAGGATAGTCAGAAACAGAATGTATTTCAGTAGAAGATCGAGGAGGAAAGAAAGGGAACGGAAAGCAATTGGCATTAAAATGTAGGAACAATGAAATCTGAGATGGGCTGATATTTGCAAAATGAACAGTCAAGTTTGAGACAACTGATTGATATTTTGCAAATGAAGTATTTACTATTTGGTTCTCAAGTTTTAGTAAGATTCGTTCAAATACACTCGGTTGTCTATACCTGTGTTCTTGTTCATTACAATTCCTGTTATTATAGCAATTGATATCTGTTTATGCTTCTGTTCTCTTCAATTCTATCTTCTTAACCTAATGCTGCTAGGTATCCCACTTCTGATTAGCGTTAGATACTACTTATGTCTGTTGTAGTCAGGTATAGCCAGTAAGCGATTAAATAGATATCAAATTTACTGACTAAAAAATAAAACTGAGTTTGTAGTTGTCATCACCTTGGTTCCACTTGATAATTTGAAGTAAACTGAATATAGAGTTGTTTGTTAGTAATAAAAAAATACTATATTTGTAGAGTAGAAAAATTAAATTTTCAGGTTACAAAGGAACCTTCGTATTATTTAAACTTGGAGTAACTTATTTGTTCTCTGAAGAAGTGTCCTACACTGAGTCACGAAACGTTAAAAAATTTAATTTTTTCTAGTCATTAGGATGTTACAAATATATTATTTTTATTAAAATGAAAAATGTAAAAATATCAAGTTTGACATGTGAAATTTAAAAATGTCAGAATGAGTCGATTCATGAATTCAACCATTAAATTACTTCAATTTCCACAAACCTCATTCTGATCATAATCATCATGTACTCACTAGTGACTGGTTCCAAAATGATTTCCTGGAGTTCTAGTGAGAAGCTGTGATCAGAGAAGATCAATCCGTGCCGGATAGAGACAGGTATCTATTTCAGACAATGGGTGAATGGTTTCTCAGTCACTCATGGATCGATAGAAGTTAAACATTAACACCGTTGAATGGCGGCTCAGTGGTCTACATGTTAAGCATTAGCACGCAAGACCGAAGGTCCTGTGTTCAGATCCCGTGTGCGGGATCGTAGATGCGTGCTGCTGAGAATTCCCATACTAGGACGAAACAGCCATCCAGTTCTTCCAAGTTTTCAGTGATGATCTAGATTATATCGACTCATGAATTCAACTATTGAAATTCCTACAATCTTCACAAACCTCATTCTCATCAAATTTATCATTTCTATTTTAAATGTGTGTTTTTTTTCTTCTAAAATTTTAGTGTTGGTTAAAGACATATAATCCTAGTCCAGAAGAATATCCAGATAAACATGTACGTCCTGGACATTCAAGATATTCATTTATTGTTGGTATAATACCACTTGCTAGAAATATTGATTTTTTACACCCTTAACAAATTTTGGAGTATATTATGATAATAAAATATTTGGTAGATATGCAGAGGATGGAAGACCACCATTTTATTGTTCCGAAATGGATACTATCATAAAAGGTTCTTATTATTATTGAATAATTTTTTTTTATTTCATTCAATATTCAATACGAAAGTTTAATTAAAAAACTGTAATAAAAAAAAATCAATAATTTTGGTGATTCTAAAAAGTTAAAGTAGTTTAGTTACATAACTTTTACACGAAAAAATCATAATAATTAAATATCGGATATTCAATTTATAGATGGATACTAATTTCATGTAAAGTTGCAATGAATAAGGCTTTGAAATAATAACTATGTTACGTAATAATGTGAAATACATTTTATTTAACTACTGAGATAACAAGTATATATAAATATATATATATCACTTCGAAGAGTTGTTTAATGATTTTTTTTAGTATCAGAAGGGGTTTTGTGGAGATTGTAGTAATTTCAATAGTTGAGATCATGAGTCAATTGAAGCTAGACCAGCATGGAAATCCTGGAAGCACTGGATGACTGTTTCTTCCTATTGTGAGACTCCTCAACGGCGCGCACCCAGTACCTATCAGTCTCGCTTGTGAGCGCTTAACCACTAGACCACTGAGCCAGCTGAGATCCAACGGTGTTCATGTCTAATTTCAACTAATTCACGAAATTGAGCGACCTATGATTTTGCCTATTAATTGTTTTACAAATTCCTATCAATGATAAGATTCACAAATGAATGAATTAACAATCTACTGATCAATTTCCACAGTTATACATCTAAATTAGTGCTATAAAGTGAAACTAAGTTTAAAATAAATACAATGTTAAAGTAATAGCATGTGAATTTAGAAACACTGGGAAAAAACAAAATAGATTTGTTAGCATGATAGTTTCAAGAAAGTTGTTGAATTTACTTAGTTTAAATCAAGGACTGACAGTAGTTAAATAAACATTGGACAGCTATTTTGTACTAGTATGAAACTTGTCACTAATGTGCATACACAACCCCACTAAGTCGATCAAACACAGGACCGTCAATTAAGAGACGAACAGATGAATTGTAGACAAGTGATTCGGTGGAGTCCACTCCATCAGTTGGACTAGGTCTGTTCGATATTCCTAACGATTTCCTTTCGTATTCAGTGGTTCTACGCAGTATTTCCTCAGACATATAAAAACATCGATGAGTCAAATTTTTCAAAGAGGACTCCATTATATTTGAGAAACATTAAGGGATATAGTACAATTGCCTATTATGTTTCGTAATTTCCATAATTTTAATATACTCTGTTACAATTGATACGAACTCTCGGTCCTATAGGCAGTCTTTCAAAAAAAACGATGAGTGGATTTGTGCAGGTAATTTTCTTAAATCATCCTGCTAAACACATGAAAATACAAGCTCACAGACAAAAAGTCTCCAATTGAGCTGAGACTTTTAAATTCCAACAGCTATTGATTCTGCCATTTGACGGAATTCAATCTGACAAACTGTTAGAAATCTACTAAATAGATGGACTATCAGAAATGATTGGTATACTCTTGGACTATGACCAACTTGAACTAAATGGTCTATTATAAAATCATTCGCCGTATTGACAACAACAAATCCGCCCCACTGAAAGATGTTCACGAATGTGAAAATGCGAATTCCTCGAACTTTAGTCAATATAACTTGTTTCACAAGAGCAGTAAAATCTATATGCGTAAAACGAAGTATTTAATCTACGTGATTCTTATTCTCGTCTCGATTTCACTATTAAATGCAAAGAAACACTGATCGCAGTTTCCTGGAACTGAGTAGTCCGAAAAAATTCGACAATCTTCTCGAAACTACTAGCCTTACAAATCTATTTTATTTTACCAAAGATTCTAAATTCATACGTTATCGCTTTAAACGGCGTACTTGTCTTGGACTTGGTCATTCTTTTATATCGTTAATTTAGATACATAACTACAGATTTGATATATAACTGTGGAAATTCGTCAGAACTTATTGAAAAGAATATTCTTTGTTTAAATATCTGTATTTTACTGATTGACCACTAATAATTACGACAATATATAGAATATTATCATACTTTCATTCTGTGAAATATAATGACAGAATCGAGTAAATTGATAACTGGAATGAAATGGTCAATGTTTCTTAAGAAAATTCATGACTTTTTAAAGCCTAGATCAACGTGAATAAGCAACTTTCTCTAGAAACGAGACCTAATGCATCTAAGCTTGAATAATACAAATTAATTGATATTATATATGTGTTTATATGTAAAAGTTCTACTAAGCATCATATTACACAGATTACGTATTACGTATCATACACCTCACGAATCACAGACTACTAACTACAGATCTCCAATCAACTCTGATCTGTGCTGTTTTATGAATGTTGCAAAGTCGTGTTCATAGTCTTCGTGTCTCCTGAAGATCTCAGAGACATCAGGTTTTTCGGTATACCTCTTTACTTTCTGTCTTGAGGATTTCAACTTAAGAATCGCTTTGCGACCCAGCTACGTGGTTTCTGTAAAGTGTGTTCTATACACCTCCAGTGATTTTTCCTAACATCCTTCTGAAATAGAAGTTTCCACTTTATGAACCATGCATTTCAGACATACTCAGTTTATATACGAATGAATCAGACCGCATATGTCGAAACGTGTGTCCTGGATCCTACTGCTATTCACTATCCAACTCCGCACAAAATGCTAGTAGATTAAAGGCAATACAAAGGCAATCTACACAGGATGCGAATATGGTGAGACTGATCAGTTCCAGCCGGACATTAACAGCTGGAAGAATTAAACAACCTTTACAAATGAATTATTTGATGGGATGTCGATAATACCTGGTTTTGGTTAGCAGCAATATTCACGTCTCATTTATATGAGACTATTCAACATGAGTCACCTGCAGGTGCTGACATATGACAAATGCATTATTCGGTGCAGAGTATATACGAATGACATCATAATTCCTCGATCATTTCAACCGTTGGAACCCATACCTCAAATTTGGTAGTTTACAGAAGAACCCAATCGGCAAAATGTTTCTCAGTATTGTGATTATTCTAAATATCCAATATAAGGATCCTTTCAATACTTTGTTGTTTGCTTATCTGTTCTTCTGTAAATCATAGCAATAAACTGGTCAATTAATATTAGATATATAATGACTAAGTGACAATCTTGACATTTAGCACACACTTTAATACAATGCAGATTGTACAAGTCTAACCCCATCCGGAATTACTTTATTCTAATTCAATGACTACACAAACTGTTGTGTATTAATACGGTCGCTGTTGTTTCTAGTATAATATTTATCAAATCTTCTTACTATAAAAAATTATTCTGAAAATAACACAATACTGTAATTATTTCGTCCTAGTTGTATCCCTTCAGTCATATAGTACTTAGTTCTTGTTTATTACCATTGAGCATGTCAAATATTTCAAGCATCCAAGTACTTAAACAGGTAGACTGTTTTTTCAGCTCTTATTTGGTCCGTTCATCTTTGGTCAACAAGCTGGCGATAGGAAATGTAACACCTCACTAAATAAGGTAAACTCTCATGAAGATACTACACTGCAAACGGGGCTGATTTGTTCGACCTCTTTTAACCGCACTTTGTTCTTCGATCTTCCTTGTCGGGGCTTTTGTTGTTTGATCTCGGTTGGTGTTGAGAGCAAGCAAATACAGTGACAAATTAAGAGTCGAGTGAATTGATAGTATTCAAGCACATGTGTATAAATACCTTCTCTACGTACTTTTTATCATTCGGTTTTCCACTATTGTTGATAATCTTATTTTCATTCCTTACACTATCCCTAGTTGGAATACAGTGAATGAGGTAACCGGAACAGATACGTTTTGAAATACCTCTCCAAAAATAAATAAGAATGACAAATTATCCCAGCATTTATGATTTAATCTACATCATAAAAGACACCACTACTAACACTGACTCGTTCTGTCCCTATCATTTATAATTAAGCAACAAAGTATAGGTGTAAACAATTTACTGTCGCGTTTTACGACAGTAGATACGCAAGTACGCGAAATCAAACAAGGTATGAATAAAGTTAATGTACATGAAATGCTGAATATTGGAAATACTATAAGGACTAATTTGCTCTACATATTAGAAGCGTGTGTCATTTTATCGTTATAACAACTATGTAATGTTAGAAACCCAAATATTCGGAGGATGTCAGTCAGTCAGCTACAACGTAGGACCAGGCACATATATGCATCAGTCCAAGTTGCCATACAACATTAACACAAAAAGATGGACACTGGATTCATAAAAGTGGTTAATTCAGAGGTAGTAATATATAAAAGAAAGATTGCAATGAGGATATAGTACAGGAAGAAAGAATTAGTTCGTAGAAAGAAAGATATGAAGCGATTTCACCATCCTTCCCTAATACCCTGCGTCTAACCTCACTATTACTTACCCGGTGATCCCAGCAGACGCCAGCAATATTTCTAAGGCATCTGTGGTCAAATACTAGTAGCTTACGAGTGTCTTCTACTCTTAAGGCCATGTTTCGCTGCCGTAAATTAAAACAGAACGGACTGCCGCGCAGTATACTCGTCCTTTTATTGATAGACGGATATCTCGCCTTCGCCAAAGGTGACGTAAGTTGGCAAAAGCCAAACGAGCTTTTCGAATCCGTGCTGAGATTTCGTCAGACACCAACCCATTAGGGCTGATCAGACTTCCAAGATAAGTGAAGTTGTCAACGCGTTCGACTACTTCACTCCCTATCCTTAGTTCAGGTGTTGACGCAGACCAGTCCTGAAGCAACAACTTGCATTTAGAGGGAGAGAAGCGCATTCCAAACATTCTGGCATTGTTGCTTAGTGCTACCAGAAGACTCTGCATTTTGTCAGCGTCTTCACCAAACAGGACTATGTCATCTGCGTATTCTAAGTCGATAAGTGGACCTCCTGGAAGGAGATCAATACCCGAGAATTC